ATTACAGGATTCTTAGTCTTCAAAGCACTTCTTAATTCTCCTTTTTAATACACTACTTAAAATAGTAAGTAAATTAATAAGTTAATCTCAATAAGTAGCAATGTATGCTCTAGTGCAGTTTATTTTCATTGCATAAAGGTTCTAAAAGTCTTAGATTCTTGTAGAATCAGTGAGTAATAATGTCGTATAAGCACTGATACAATATAATTCAGTAAGTAATATACTTTCTCCCGAACCCCCTCCCCCCCTTTTTTTTTTAATTTTATAGACTGAAAATCGAGGAAGAAAAATTGCGCAGTGTGTACAATTTTTGAAGGAAAAGAGTTACACATTTAAAATGCATATATGATTAGATACAGTAATATTAACATGAGTCTTCTCTTCCAAGATTATTTTTTATGCTATTATCCTACATTTTACAATCTTAAAATAATTTAATACTTCCTCACGGTCAATTTCCAAATATTTTCTGCTTTGGAGACCGCAAAAAAACTCTCCTTTACGAATTCCTCTTTTTATTGCCTCTTTTATTGCTTATGCATATCTGTGTCTCCATTGACTAGACTTGTTTCAATTGCAAACTGTTTTATATTATGTTTGATACCAATCATTTTTATTTTAACACTAACAACTTGAAATTTTGCAATGTAACTAATATTACACTGTCGTACCAATGCTTCAATAAACTACACTGACTGACTTGAACTGACAGTAATGTGTTCACACGAATTATTCTAAGCAACTCACTTTCTAAGTTCTCACTTTAAAAAATCGCCCAAAGCTCTCGACCACGAAAACGCCAAGCAGATAAATACAGAATGAATTATCATGTTCACACTGTTTTATCGTCACAACAATGATTGCAGATGGACTCCACGGTGGAATTAATGGAGCAAGAGTATTCGACCCTTACAACTACTTGCGCTTTAGTGAGACAGAGAAACTCCTATTCTTAAGAAATATGAAAGATTTTTTTTTCTTTTTTTCCTTAACATGATGTTTTTATAAACACATCTTGAAATAAAATTTCCACAGACCTTTATGTTACTTCTGTGCCCACTCCAAATCTCATTTTTACTGAAAAGTTTACTGTCTCCGTACTTCTACAGGATCCTCTTTTTTACAGTCCAGGTATTTCTGTGGAATATGCTGTTCTGCTGTGATGGTTCATTTGTTATCTGACGATGTTAACTAATAAGGCTGACAGTTCGTTTACTATCTAACAGTGCTAACTAAATAGGGATTTTCCCAGGTGCCTCATTTGTTATATTCTGTAATCTGAAATTCAGTTGTTTCTCTTATTATCTTCAGAGAAGAGGAAGATAATTGCCTCGCTTAGAATTCTGAGGTTTGAACAAACGATCATGAGGTGCATGTGCAAACACTACCAATTTAAGAAATTTCAGGGAATGGCCTACTTGTGGAGTAAAATTATACGAATAAATCAAACACTTTTTTAATCAGCTAGGCATAAAAAAAGTAAATATATAAATCTAATAAGTAAATATATAAATACGAATAAATACTAGATAAATAAACACCTGAACTATTAAGAGCTATTAAGCATGAAGAGAAGAACTATAAACTTCGGCTAATTCGGAAAAGACTACTTTGTCAACTAAATTCATTATTAGGTTAGGTTATTCGACTATACTAAAGGACGCGAGGATATCTGCCTAAGGGAAGGGATGCCTTTGTTGAGGTCTCTCTGAGGGAAAGTGGCTCATATTCACATTACATTTGGGGTAAACTACAACAACCAACCAACCAGTCAGTATATTGTTAAGTAAAGTATTCCTATAACTTGAAAGATAAATTTGGCGCAGACTAATAACAAAAGCGAAGCATGTCGCGTGTTGGAGAAAAAATCCTAATTGCCTTACTAAAGACGTATAATCAATCGTTAAGCAATTAATGGCGAATAAGGAAATCGATTTCAAAAATTGCAAGTGATGAACAAATATATAAATATAATAAATTGCTTTAAATTAATTAAGGCAAATAAAAAACAGGTCCCTAAGTATTTCCAGAGGTTAATTAAAAAAATTCTATTTAACAGTCACTCATGTGAGTGCTCATGCCCCAAGGCGTGACGAAATTCTATTATCCGTCTGATTGCACAGTAAAGTGGAAATGACGTCATCGTGTTTTAGTACTTTTCCCAACTGAAAGAAAGCGGTGAGGAGGATCTGTTACGGGTTATAGAAATGACGCGAAAGGATTAATTTATTGAACAATATTTCATGAAAAGGAAAAATGCTTTGAAAAAAAAAAAAGTGATTGAAAAACTATGCATTTCTCTTGTATTTCTTACACTTCTGTGCAAGTACTCTTTGGCGAAGCCTGAATAAAATCTAACTTTACATTAAACAAAACGGGGGAATACATGATGTTTTAATAGGAAAAATATGGAGCTGATAATGAATTAGAAAGCAACCTCTCCTTCTTAAGCGTAAAACGGTACAAGTTCATTGAAGACATAGGTTCGTTTCTTAACACCTTGGCTGTACGCATACATGTACATCAAGTATTGACAGCACCTTCTTTACTGAATTTATGATTTAAAAAAGAAAAGGATATTTTCCTCTCATTCAGAAAAACAAATCGGAGACTGCACCTTTTTCAACCTATCAGCTATCTGTATCGAAATATTCATCGTCATCCAAATTTTGGTAATGCAATAACTAAAATCCTTTAATCAGCTTTTTTTTATATGGAAGCCTTATTGCAATGCACAGTGCTTGAATGATTGGCACAACGAAACAAAGCACATGACAACTGTCAGCTTAAGGAAAAGGATACCTTCGTGGAGGACTTTTCAAGAGGAACTGTTCCGCATTCACGTTATATATGAGGTTAACCAAAAAAACTTCCATGCATTCTGTACATTCACATCTGTAATTCATCTGTACATAAAATTAGAAATAATTCATCAACTTAGTTATCACAAATATTTCGTTTATGTTAAATATCTTAAACAACTCTCTCTTGGGCAAGGAAGACTTACATTTTTACCCCCATAAAAAAAAAAAAACTACACATTATTTATTTTTTATTTATTGTTTAATCAACTGACTGCCTAGGTTGTCGAGAGGTAATAATTAGCTTTCACAACCTGTATGTTTGTCTATTAACTAATGTATGACAGTCCAATATAGTTTTAATTTTAAAAGCAAAGATTAAAAATAAATAACTTTTAGTAGTTTGTAAAAGTACGCTGGGAGAACACATTTGCTATATTGCGTACGAATTAATGCATCCAGTCTATGCCAGATTAAGATAGAGCTTTTCCCATTGCTGAACACCTAAGGATCTTTCTGTGGTGCTCCCTTTCCCTGTTGTTTAAGCATATGATTATATTGTTTAATGGTTAATCCAGTCCTGAATCTATTAGTTTCATAATTAACAGTTAATTCTAATATAAAAAGGCTTGGAATTTCTCAAGGTAATTAAGTCAAACGACATCGCAGTGCTTGGTGCTTTTCGACGAGATTTTGACTTTGGATTCTAAAGCTTGATAGCTGATTGCGCAAGCATTTGGTTAGACCATGTGAATTGATTCAGGCAAAGCAACTCGTGAGCTATCTGTTTATGAGGAGGTATGTCTTCGTGAAGGCCTTTCTAGATCAAACATTTGACTAATAAAGAAACACTGCGTAAAAAGAATCTACGTATTTACTGCGCACGCAAATTCTCGAACACAGCATTAAGACAGTAAACTCTGCTTTCAGCCCATTATTAATTTAGATGCTTAATTACTTCAACAATATTGAGAGAAAACATAGCAAACATGCTTCTTCTCAATTTAATAAAAATTTTATATAATATAACAAAACTGAAGGGATAATGGGGCTGAATTTAAGCCTTAAATCCAAATATAATAAGAAGCTGCTACTAATACATGCGATAAAAAAAACCTGTCATTTTTCTTCCAAATTATAACAGCACCTTATTATCGGAGCAAAAAAGCAAGCCATTTTAAATATTTTACACTTTTAATAGTATTCTATATACTTTAGACTTTTTAATAACATTCCGATACTTTTCATTAGCAGTAGTATAATAACAGAATGCCTGCTCGTCGAAACATAGCTTTCTATTTCTAGTATCAAAAATATTTCTAGTATCAAAAAAATGTTAAACTTCATACAATATCATACAGCCTAACATTATCAATAGCTAATACTTTAGTAGAAGTATCATTTAGAGAAACAACCGAGAACATGTAATAATGCTCGGATTTTAAACCTTTTCTTTCTCTTCCAAACCCGGAGTTTCTACATTTAAGATGTAAGATTTATGTTCCAAATTTTTTACATAATGAATGCACGCGTCCTGCCTCTTATACTTATTCTGCATGAATATTACACATTTATATATGTAATCCACAAGAATGTTTAAAATAAAAAGCTGTTTGTGTAAGAAAACTTCATCACTGGAATAAATCCCCAGCAATTCGTTACTGTTTCAACGTATTGAAAATTCTTTATATATTTAAAGAAAAAAAAATTACATCTGTGCATTCTCATGATATAAAAACAATCACGCTAGAAGTATTAAATTTCAAGAATAAACATGTTATCTAATGAAGAACACAATAATATAGAACAATAATATCAACATTTATGAACGTCCTACCTTTCCGGTACAAAAGACATTCTCGAGAAATAACTTAAAAGCAACTGCTGAGTTTATTTTAACACAAATAAACAAAGAAGTTTTAATACAAGAAAACAAAGCATAGAGTAATTCTATAAAAAGAATAATATTTTATAAACTATGATAGCAGCAGTTTCTTTCTTAGTTTTATGTTAAATTTTTAATTTTAAAAAAGCCTTTTCCTAAAAAGGAAAAATCTCTTGTACTTTAATTGGAAGAACATAACTCAGTGGATGCAAACCACAAAAATAACATAATTCAGAGATGCACTGCAGTTGAAATATTCGAAAGAATGGCATATTTATAGGGAAAAATTTGAATCAGAATAAAACAATACTCACACTGATGACACCAGAACTTCATTATTCCTTCCAGTTACGATATCTAAGATCCAAAGAGTACCACCTCGTAAGAGGGAATTTCATACCGTGCCGAACTCCGTAACATGTTCGATGACCGGACCAATAAAACGGGGGATATAAAACAGCATATTTTTCAACAAGGGGCTTGCGTGAACAAAAACCAAAACAAAACAAACTGGCTTTCCAAAGCGTGTGTTACAGCATTCTCGTGCTCCTGCTGTCAGCCACTAAGTCTGCTATTCCTAGATCTAAGCAATCAGGCAAGATTTGACCTTTCAGCAACCCCATGGTAGTGTTCAGATTGGCATTGCTCGGACAGTCCGCTGCCTTCCACACCGCAGGGATGGTGAGATATTAATAAACAATACAGAGAGAGAGAAGAAAAAAATAATAAGAGAGTCCAGGGACGGACGGATGGACAGGAGAGAGGTCCCGTCTTCCTAGCGCGCGCGCTCTACGTGAAGCTCGACCACGGCAAAATGAAAATGCGTGTATGCGTGGTTGAGCGGTGTTCCACGCAGCGCCAGCGTCGCTCTATTGATTGATCTGGGGATGGTGGTAGTTGCGTAGGAGAGGAAAAGAAAATGCCTTTTAAAGCTCCTCTTGTGCGACACGTACGCGCGGGTGTCTTCGAAGAAATGCTATTGTTTTGTTTCCAATTACATTAAGATTAACGGCAGCAGTGCTTGCCGAACTTCTGTCGCAAAGAAAATGTCGAAAGAAGCAATTAAGATAGTCTCTATTACGTGATAAATTTCTGCAAGAAAAATTCAGCTATTAATATGTATATGTGTCTCAGTATTTTACATTAAACTTACAGTTAAAAAAGTGAGGTACGATGGAACAACGTTATGACGTATATGTAGCATAAAATAAGTTAATTGATTATTAAAAATGATTGCATTAATAATAAATGCAGTTTAAAAATTTCAAATCACAATCTAAGACAATGGAAAATTGGCTATTAATTTTTTTAATATTTAAAAAAGTAAAAATATTAAAGCCATGATATCACAAAGAAACTGCAATCTGATCTTGTTGCGCATATATTCCAGTTTAACGCCTACTCCATCTTTCAGTTAAATAGTTACGATTACCCTACTAGTTTTAAAAATAATCACACAGAAACACAAGATACAGAATATAAAATAATATAATTTAAAAAAGGGTGTTAACACAGTAACACAGGTACTAGAAAATTAACTTCCTTTGGTATTATTTCACCACAAATTATTGCAGCGTGAAGGCATCCTTATTTAATAAATAAAAGACTTAATTATTCAGGCTATAGCTCTGAATTTATTTCGGGGCATTGTCTACGCATAAGGTTTGCGACAAATATTTCCTTCAAGTGGCCACACCTTCTATTGCCCAATATGTGAAATAAACAATACCTTAATACCGACCTTCAAGGTATTTGATAACAAACAGTATAAAAACTGTATGAATAAATAAATTAAATTAAAGATTCCAGATACCTTCAGACACAAACGGGCAATATTTGAAAAATACTGTAAATGTTTTCTAATTCAAAAACTAATTTAAAGCAAAACTACTGGCTAAAAACACATCCAAATGTGTTATGAAATATAATGTTAAATGTTTGTGAAAAGTTTATGTTTACACTTGGAACGGTAATTTGATTACGGAAAAGTGCAATAGGACTACCTGCTTTAGTGGAGAATTTTCTAAGAGAAACTTAAATGTACTTATGAAATGTACTCTATGTTACCTTACTTACTGAAACGTACTCTGTGTTACCTTACTTACTGAAATGTACACTGTGTTACCTTACACAGAGGAAAACAAATCACATAAATCTCATGTCGCTAGTTCGTCTGTAAGGTAATTTTAATTTTATAACAGTTATTTTTATTTCAATATACTTTCCTATCGACTTTTGTTTTAACTTACAACTCCCTACCAGAATGAGTTTTTAGAATCGCGTTGAATGCAAATGAGTTAGAAGCAGTATTTAAGGAAGGTTTCGTGAGAGACAACTAGGAATCCTGAGTAGCGTTCTTCAGGCTAAGTCTCTCTAGAAGCGGTTATGCTCGGCCTTATATTACGTGCCTTTTGATATTCGCCGGCTAGTTTAAATTAAGGGCCAACTAGGTTAGATTTGTGTTAGCTTCGGCTAAGTCTCTTTTAGTTAGTTCTGAGTTAGCTCTTATTTCTTATTTTTTAATTTAAGCCCAAGTGAAGACTTTGTTGTAAGCCTCTAGAAAGGGGCCGACTGTTCATCTATCTTATTTTGAGTGAAATAAAAGGTAGTTAAACATCCTCGAGTCTACGTCTTAGTTGTTTGAACTTAGCGATAAATCGCTAACAAGTTCACTAGGTTCCTCAACGTTCATTTTTGTACAAAAAGAGTGAGGAACTCTACACATTCAACCAGGTTCAAGTTGAAGTGCTGGGCATACCCATTGGTTAACTATTTGCAATATGGGTATTGTCCAACTGCACTATCTACCTTTATTTAATACCTATTTATTAATTTATCTAGCTTTATCTAACTTTATTGAGTCCGTTCAAGGAACGATAATAGAAGCCGGGGTAATTATATCAGCATTTCGTAAAACAGTCACGCAGCTGCTAGTTCATTATATAACATATTTGCTATGTACTCTCTTATACAGTATATATATATGTAAGAATATGTAAAGAATATGTAAAAAGATTAAATTAGCAGTGAAAATGGATTCTCTTCTGTATTCTAAAAATAGTAACTTCTATTTGCATTGCGACATTTCGAGAAAAATTTATGTCATATGACTCTTACATAATTCTGATGATGTAAATGAAACTAAAACAGCCAATAGTAATTTTACAACAATATTAACCTTCCAATCAAAATGCATAGAGAACCACAACTCAGTCTGAATTAAGATTTCACTCTGAACATAACGCACTTGCTTTCAACGCTTTGGCCTAGCTGGACTGCTGTCTATCTGCTGCTGCTTCTGCTTTCTTACTACCAAGTTATCAAAAATGTAAACTTTTTCAAATAAGCACAATAAATGTGCCAACTTGTTTGTGGCCAAAACATGTTTACTGAAATAAAAGTTAAATTAAATATACCTTGACTGCCAAATTTCTTATTCCTTGTGGATCGGCGTCTCAGCATTCTACAGCATCAAAATTCTAGCCGTTCATTGTCCACCTGTGTTCTACTGCAGAATCTATTTTTTTTTTTTTTTTTTTTTTTTTTTTTTTTTTTTTTTGTGTGTGTGTGTGTGTGTGCGTAAGATATAAGAAAATACGATAGTTGCTTTAAAAATTATTCGCGACCTCAAAAAATTCACGTTTTAGATATGGAGATCTCCCCCTAAATTTATCTGTTCTCCCAAAGTCGAGAATCTTCTATGTTATGAAACAACGTCAAATTAGCCAATCATAGATTAGCTCTACTTATACCTCAGACTTGGTATAAACAATCTTGGCACAATAAACTATCCCTTCTCTCACTGCTGCTCTGTCAACATCGCGCCGCTTTACCTTTAACTGCCTTCGTCATTTCTTTTTAAAAGCCAATGTACATAGAAATTTATCACATTTCATTATGATTAAATCATAGAAATGTATCGGATTTCATTATGATTGGATAGATATCTACTGAGATGATTTTATATGTGCGAAAATAAAGACTGGAAATTCTTCAAGCTCAAGGGTGTTAACTGCGTCATCATAGATTTTAACCTTCAACCATTACTGTCTGCTCACCCATGACTGTTATCGGAAGCTGTTAAGAGTTCCAGGCTCCGACTCTGCGCATTCGAAATATTGTCTTCTCAGCTATGACGAATGTAGAAAGCTGTTAAAAAATCCAGTGTTTTCTTCTACGCATTAAATTATGAGATATATAATACATATAAAAATTTCCATACTGTATGCGTTTACATATGATCCCCAGTTCCACATATTAAACTTTAATTAATGACATGCCAAGTAATTTTAATTGTATGAGGATACTATTTCTTTTGTTTCACTAATTCGGCTACAAAACATTTTCTCGTATGATTACCCCCTCCCCTCTAGCCCTCTAGTAAACTTTAAATTTTGCATAATTTTACTAAAGGTGTAAAATTGTGAAAACTCTCGAACTATTAATGCCTAGCTTATCTGGTTCATTTCGAAAACTGGAACCATTTATATAAAACCAAATAACTATCCAAGAGATATTTAGCTGTGCAATATTTTGAATCACTTTGCAATATAAGTAACTGACGCACACATACACACAGGGAAGAAGGGGAAAAAGGGGAAGAGTCCTACACTTATATCATATTAATTATGCAATTTCAGATTTATTTCAAATTAAATAAGAAAAAAAAGCTTACACTGCAACACACTGATAATTAACATCCCTTCAACAAGTAATCCCATGGCAGACATATATATTGCAGGAAACCCACATCAGACAGCAGCTTTTTTAAACTCCGCAGTTGCCTAATTTTTATGCAAACACCTGTCTATTTCTTTTCCTATCAAAAAGTAGCACTCAGTGAAACACAAACTCAATAATCTGCATATCGGAAATAAGTTGAACGCGGCACACACACTACAAATTGTCGAAAATGAGTAATCAGATTTTCATTTCGCGCAAAACCATGGTTACTTTCTTCGACTGAAACTCATTACTTATAGTTTGGACTATTTTAAATAAGTTGCATAATAAATCTGTATAAGTAAAATAGCAAACAGACAAATATTTCAGCAGTGAAGCAAGCAGCTTAACGATTACTAATACTCACGATTTTGTCATAATCTATGTAAGCAATATATTTTGCATTTTTTATTATACATCTCTCCATGTTGAAAATTTGTAATGCGGTTTTTAGTATACTTCCGTCTCTCTGATAAAAACTGTTTCATACATTTTTAGCAGAGAACTATTTACTCTGGAAAGAGAACAATAAGTAACTACTCTTTTAAAGAGGTTAAACAGCTGCATTTATGTCTTATTAATTTTACGGTTTTATAAAGCTTTCGGGTACTTATTTAAATTTTAAGACAGGCATTATTTATCCACACTAAGGCAAAGGTTTCTCAAACCTTTTTTACTTGCGTTGCTTTTGAACCGTGAAATTTTACTAACACTCTTCACCTTGCAGAGTTCCCTACTTTGTAAATGCTAAGTTATTGTTGAACGTGAAAAATCTTAAGAACTGTTAAGCGAATAATCGCTTGAGTTCGTGTGACAAGAAACAACAAGATGGAAGGGTAAATAACCCTTTATTATTCAAATAAGATTTAACAGAACTCCGTCTTGGAGTGTACAATAAAAGCCGACACTTGGGCTTGAACTTAAGAGGCTGAGAAGTAAACTAAAACTAATCTAAACAAAGAGATATAGCCGAAGGTATCAAGATTCTAACCAAGTTGGCCCCTTAACTCTGATTGACTGCGAAGCTATCAAGGCCCTGAGTACGGCCGAGCGTAATAACAGCTTTGAGAAAGAGAAGCCCAAAAGGCGAACGCGCGCTAATCAGA